TGAACCAGGGAAACAGAGGCTGCAGTGAGCTAAGATCATGCAGTTGCATTCCAGCCTGGGCAGCAAGAGTGAAACTCTGTCTCAAACAAAAAAACCATGACAGTGAGTTCAGGTCTTTATTCTTCCTGATCCCAATGGCAGGTGGGAGAAGGGACCCATGGAGAGTCCAAGAGAGGGGGGTGGGTCTGTCGGGGGTCTGGGGAGAGGTCCAGGAGGAGAGTGCGAGGTTACTGGGAGGAGCCGCGCCTGCTGGGTGGTCTTGAGACAAGAATGTAAGGAGATGCACTCAGGGCAGCCGCTCATGCGTTTTCAGACACCAGGCAGCGTGCTGCCTTCACCTGCCCCTCTCCGCCTGCTCCCCTCAGCTGGGCTGTTATCAAGGAGGGTGGCTTTTTCATTTGGCATCTTTTCTGCATCTTCAGCTGCCCATGTCCTAGGGCTCCAGCGGGGTTAGCAAGTGGGGAGGAGTCGGGGGATGGAGCCGGGGGAGGTGGAGGCTGTGGCTTTGCTTCTTTCAGACATCTATTGCGTATAAGAAACACTCCAAAGCACGATAGCTTAGAACAGCAGCCATTTTATTTACTCAAGATTCTGCAACCAAAGCTGGGATGGGCTGGTTGGTTCTGCTGGGTGTGTCGTGGGCACTCATGGGCATGAAGCTGGTGGCGTAGCTGGGGTCTGGAATCTGCTGGGCTATTGGGAGGTTGAACTTTTCTTTCTCTTTGTGGTTTTAGAATTGGCATTGAACCACTTCTGCATTGCACTGATTAAAGTCACAGGCCAGCCCAGATTCAAGAGGAGCACAAATACAAGGGCATAAATCCCCAGAGGCATGGATTCACTGGAGTCTGGAATATAAAGGCTATCACAGAAGGCGGCATATATGTGAATAAAGGCCCTGCCCTTCAGCAGGGATCTCTAGGGATCTAGAGATCTCAGAATCTTGCCTCTAGCATCATGGGCTTAATGACTGTTATATCAACCCACCGCCTTAAAAACATTTTTTTAGGGTATAACACATTTAGAGAGCATGCCCAGGTGCCCCTCACACCCCATTAGTTAGTAAATGCCCCACTCCTGCATCCAACCCAGACATCTCACCTGATCTCCACCCCTGATCACGCTCTTGGTGTCCTGAGTTCTTGCTTATCTAGGAGGGGCTTTAGACAACAATCATCGCTTAAGCCAAAGGGAAATGGTGGAATTGCAGGCAGAGACTGAGGCTATCAGGGAGAGTAAGAAGAGTGGAAGGTTTTCTCTCCATCTCTCAAATCACAGCAGGTCAGTGGCTGCCGTCTGTGACTGCCAGGCCTGGGGAAACAGTGGCAAACCTGCCTCAGGAAAGGGATGTGAGGACATTTCCTAAGCACTGTGTCTTTAAGACTGTTGGGCCAGAAGGCGGCTGTGTGGCTGGGCGGTGTGGAAATGTACTGGGGCACAGGGCAGGACGTCTTTTTCAACAAATTCCTAAACGTAACAACTTCCATGATATCACCCGCTGGGAGCTGACGGCCACCGAAGAAACCCTGCTTGAGAATATTTTGAGCCACAGAAGGCTTATAAGTTTGACTAAAAGAAGAATGTTCAAAAGAAAGAGAAACAGTATGATTTCTATGAACATTATCACACACAGGGCACTGCTCTAAGGGTTGTAGGTGCCTTGGCTTATTTTCCACAGTTGCCCTGTGAGGTAGCTACTAGGCCTCCATTTACAGATGTGGAGCTGAGGCTGAACAAGGCGCTGAGCGGCTCACCCTGGGACACCCAGCTGCCAGTGGCAGGACTGGGCTTGAGCCCAGGCAGCCTCCCTTTGAAGCCTATGCCTTGGCTGCGAGTTACACTGCCCTGAGCAGTCCCTGCCTCAGGCCCTCACCTGATTAGGGAACCTGGCCTTTTTCAGCCCAAAGCAGGGCTCTTAGCCTTTCTTGGCCTGAGCAGGAGGGCTGGCACTTCCATTCATCACTTCGCTTTGAAAAAGTTGCTGTTTCTTTAACTCAGCGAATTAGAAAATTGTTCCTGAGTTGCTACTTCTGGTATCAGATCAGTTTCTCTTTTTCTGTGTCTTCCTGTATCATATATATAATTATTTCTGTGTCTTCCTGTATCACGTATATAATTATTAACATATTACATGTACATGTGTGCATACATCAAGAAACATGGCAGGGCACAGTGGTTCACTCATGTAATCCCAACACTTTGAAAGGCTGAGGTGAGAGGATTTCTTGAGCTCAGGAGTTCAAGACCAGCCTGGGCAACAAAACGAGACCCTGTCTCCTAAAAATTAAAAAATTAACTGAGCACGGTGATGCATGCCGATAGTCCCAGCTATTGGGAGGCTGAGGCAGGAGGCTTGCTTGTGCATGGGAGATTGGCTACAGTGAGCTATGATCACGCCACTGCATTCTAGCCTGGGTGACAGAATGAGACAAGAAGAAAGAAGGAAAGAAGGAAGGAAGGAAAGAAGGAGGGTAGAAAGGAAGGAAGGAAAGAGAATGAAGGAAGGAAAGAAAGAGGAGGGAGGGAGGGAGGGAAAAGAAAAAAGAAACATAAATGTGTTTGTACCTCCAAGCAGAGCACTTTGACTATTTAATGGATATGCGAAAGAAAATAATAAATAACTTTGAGAATTAAAAAATAAACACAAGAGGAATTTCCCTCCAAGCTCCACAAACACAATAATCCTTGTAGACAGAACCACTAGTACTTAAATAAATAAAGAGAAGAATAAACACAGGGCATGTGACTTAACTGGATAGACATTTGCTGCCGTTAGAAGCTGAGCTATGGACTGACATTGGGTATTGATGCACAGAGCAAGTATAATTGCAATTAGCTACTAGTGAACACTGGGCATTGATATGCAGTGGACATTACTTCCAACAGACGTTTTCCCTTTGTGGATATTGGTCATTGGTGGAGGCTGTTATTCATACGATAAACATTAGATATCAACCGACATTTGCATCCTGGTGAACGTTAGCCAACAAGGAACACTCAACATTGATGGGCAAGGTCCTATTAGCCTATAGGCAGTGTGGGGGAGAGGGAGGTCAGGGTGAGGCCCGGGTCCCACAGTCCGGCTTGTTCTCACCTCCCCCACATTCCCTGGGACTGGAGAGGCTTCAGATGCAGGTAGGGCTCACAGTACTTTCACCCAATGAGCCAGTGTCTTCCTAAGTCCCCGCATGCGCTTGCGGAAGGAGTCCTTGCGGGAGCGCAGTGAACAAAAGGCCTTAAAGACAGGGCCAAAGCGTGCAGAAGGCTGCGAAGGCCGAGGGCGCCTCCTCGGGAATCAGCTCTGGGGCAGCTCACCTCCGCCCGAGGTCAGCTTCCTCCTCTGCAAAACGGGGCAGGGTGAAGACCCAGTGAAAGCACAGGCGCGGATGCCACCAAGCTGCGTGGGCTCGTCCTTCCCGGTGGGGAACCTGCACCCGCAGCCCCGGCCTCCCGCCAGCCAGGAGAGCGGAAACCCCAGCCGGCCTCGGCGACCCGGGAGTCCGCGCGGCGCCCCCCTCCCCTTGCAGAGGCTCCCGGCCCGCAGCGCCACCTCGTGGTCGCGTATGGCCAGACACCCCGGGTCCCAGCGGAGCCGGGAGCCAGGCGCGGCTGGAGGCCAAAGTGGGCTTCGCTGTTTGCTTCCTGCGGCCAGTCCCTCCCTGCCCGCCAGACTACCCTCGCCCTGCCGGACTCCGCCTTCCAGGAACCCTGACGCCCCGGGTGAGGACCTTCGAATCTTACGCAATCACGAAAATTAGTGCAAAGAATCCGTTTTGGAATTCACAGAAAAGAGTTGAAACCTTGGGTTCATCACTAACCAATTGTGTGATTTTGGCTAGTTCACTTTACCTCTCTGAGCCTGGAAAATAGGGATGAAAATATCTCCCTCAAGGCCCGCCCGATGGCTCATGCCTGTACTTCCAGCACTTTGGGAGGCTGAGGCAGGAGGATCACTTGGGCTCAAGAATTCAAGACCAAGAGCAAGAGCAACCTGGGCAACATAATTTAAAAATTAAAAAAGTAACTGGGCATGGTGGTGCCTCAGTCCCAGCTACTCGGGAGGCTAAGGTGGGAAGATGGCTTGGGCTGGGAGGTTGAGGCTGCAGTGAGCCAAGACTGTGCCACTACACTCCAGCCTCCAGCCTGGGGGACAGAGCTAGACCC